CATTTATACACCTGGGTGGAGAGAGGCACTGTGAGAGTAAAGTGTCTTGCCCAAGACCACAACACAATGTTCCCGACCAGGGCGCGAACCCGGACCGCTCTATCCGGAGACGGGCGCACTAACCATGAGGCCACCCTTGCATGGTCCTTCCCCTAATCCAATTTTTTGGCGGAGGGGTCGCTCATAGGGTGGGGACGGCCTTGATACTCTGGGAAGGGACTGGTAAAAATTTGAAGTTCATGGTAACTCGGTGTAAAGCGTTGACATTTTGCCCCGACAGTAAGTTAAACTAAAATGCCCTGTTACTAAGATACTCCAAACTTGAAACACTTCTTATAAGTAGCTTTGTTGGATCTACTGGGTCATGTGAGCGTGATATAGTGGAAGCAGGCTAGCGTGAGTTCATTGGGTCACGTGAACATGACCCAATACCCAGGCGAGCGTTACTACATAGGGGCTCGATGCAAGCAGTGGAATCACGCAAATTTCTCTGTGAAAACTTGTTCGTGTTCCGGCTTTATCTATCTAATGTATGGTCACCCACTAGGTTGATTTACCGAAATAAACAAAGTTTTTTTGAAATTTGTGTTTTTTGCAGAACCCATTATGACTTACATTGTTTACATTACAGTACTTTACTTTCTACAATTCACTACTTTCTCTACAGTGCACTACTTTTAGGAGAGATACATTACTTTAAGAAAAAATACTTTTACTTACTCTGCTTACAATACAACATAATACCTACTCTACTTAAAATAATTTATTCTACTTTCAGTACGGTACAAATACTTTACTATTAATAAGATACAATACTCTCTGCTTAGAGTAAGGTACAATAATCTACTTACAATGTGGCACGATTCTTATTCTACTTATAATAACATACAATACTTCCTCTATTTTATATAATACATTATAGAATAACTGAGCTACTACACGCGCTCTCATTGGTCGATGAGTGTGTTTAGATGAGAGTGTGTAAACACGGTTGCGACGTTTTAGATTCGCGCGTATTTTTGAGAATTATTGATAAAGGCAACAGAACACGGAAAAAGTGCTCCATTACTTAAATACTTACTCTTCTTACATTTCGGTACAATACGCTACAATACACTACATTGTATTCCATTACATTACTTAACAAATAAAGAAGCCTAAGCCGTGTATTACACTGTGATAAAACACGACGGGCATTTGAGAACAAGTACAATACAATACATTAATAACATGACGTGATTTTACGGTCCGCTGCAATTGCATTTCAAAGCGTAAATTCAGAATGCTTCCGTGCTTATATAATATTACCTATCACAGTAGAGCAGTTACACTGCCATCTGAATATAGGTGTTATTAAATTGACAAGAGGCATAGGAGACAAATTAACAAATAAACAGACACCGAACGAGTGTTGAAAAGTTAAGAAATTCTCTAATGTCTTCTCTAAGTTCTGCAGATCCAAATGTAATACCTAGTAATTAAGCAGAAATTATGACGAGTTTTCTTGCCAAAGAAAAATGGCTAAAAGCAAAACTAAACTAAAAATTAGAAACACCTTGCAGAGCATATAGATAGTACCACAAGAACGTACTGGTCAATAGCTGTCATTTGAATGGTCACACACTAGGGTTTGATCTACAACTTAAATTTAAAAGTTAGAACTACCTTGCACAGCATAATAAATAGAAGCACATGAAAATACTGCTCAGTAGCTTTGAGCAGAATGGTCTCGACTTGAACGAACGGAAGTTCATTTTCAGATACTTTTCGAAGACTGTCTTTCCATTTTTTCTTACCAGTAATTTTCTTTGATCGGGTTTACGAGGCTGCCACAAAAACGATGAGAGTCGTACAATATACACGCAACTGTTTATTGAAACGACTTTCACCGCCTCTACAGACAGCAGTTCATTCCTCTTCACCAGACGAATCAGTCTTCTTTAATAACGCAACCGTGTTGAGAACACGCTTTTATACTCACGCTTTACGTTCAAGTTCCACGCCTAAAGCACATGTAGTGATGATATTTACACATCTGAGCACGGGCCACGCAGGTTAACGAGCACGCAGTAACACGCTCACCCACGCTTATGCTCACGAAAATCACATGCAAACAAGCACGGATCAGTTGACACTCGAGTAGTATTTATGCAAATATTC